AATGCCCAAGACTTAAGACCTCACTCTCCAACATCCGGGAGAGCCGCCATAGAGGCAGAGGTCCCCTCAGCCGGAGCTTATTCCCATAGTAATACTCACCATAATATAACAGCTGAAAAGTCTTTGTAGTAACGTTGGGACAGTGATTATTCCCCCTAGGGAAAAGGCACTACGGATATTACATCCTACCCGATGGGGAGGTAACGAAGATCCACCTATGAACTTACAGAGGAAGTACCACATAGGGAAGGTACTGGGGTGGGCTCCGCGTAAGGGGAGCTCTACCAAAACCCAGAACCTATCGACAGAATGTCTGTCTAGGGGAACACTGAGCCTCAGGGGCAATATGCTTATGTGATGGAAGGGTAGTCCAGAGTTCATGAAAGGAGCCTGAGCTGGACTAAATAAGCGCATAATTACCCTTGGGGGGAGGAGCGCTGGTAGCAAGTTCTACACCCTGCCAGTCTCCTGAGTCAAAGAACACACGTTCAGAACTCTAAGAAGAAACTGGTTCCATTCGTAGATTATAAAATGTAGCAAATGTATTAGGTGTAGCCCAACCTGCAGCTCTACAGATATCTGCTAGAGAGGCCCCGTTCGCCAGGGCTGCTGATGCAGCCATGCCCCTGGTAGAGTGAGCCCTCACTCCCAGTGGGCAAGGTAGGCCTCTTGCCTGATAGGCAGTTAGGATCGCATCCACAATCCAGTGGGAGATCCTTTGTCTGGAGACAGCATTCCCCTTCTGCTGTCCTCCAAAACAGAAAAAGAGCGGTTCAGAACATCTGAAACTCTGAGTGCAACCTAGGTATGTGCGTAGGGCTCGCACTGGGCACAACAGGGACAGGTCGGGGTCCCCTTCTTGGAAGGGGATAGCTTGCAATGTTATCACCTGGTCCCTGAAAGGAGTGGTGGGAAACTTGGGCACATATCCAGGCCGAGGTCTCGCGAGACAATGTGAGAGTCTGCCGGCCCGAACTCCAGGCATGATTCGTTAATGGAGAGGGCTTGAAGATCCCCCACCCTCTTGACAGAAGTGAGTGCAGTCAGGAGGGCCGTCTTCATAGAGAGGGCACTGAACTCAACTGACTGAACGGGCTCAACGGATCTCTTTGTAAGGCCTGCAAGACCACAGTGAGATCCCAATAGGGAATGAGACGTGGAGACCTCTATTCGGAATGCTGATTCCCTGACATTTTTCAAGCGACAGCTGAACACTCACCTCTTTCGTGCATGTATGACTGTGTCTATTTGCCTCTTTAAGATGAATCACTTGATGTATTCCCCAATTGTAAGTCGCTTTGGATAAAAGCGTCTGCTAAATGAATAAATGTAAATGTAATCAAAAAATATAAAACATTATTTACCCCGTTTGTATTTGCGAGGCGTCCGTTACACATTTCCCCTGTGTGTTAACGTCAGTAATTATGACTGTCGAATGTCTGACTACTTGACTCTTGGTAATGTATTTTGCCCCACCCCCAAACATA